CTGCCCCCCGGGCCCGGCGCCCTCCGCCCCTGCCCCTGCCCCCCGGGCCCGGCGCCCCCCTGGGCGCCACTCACCGCGCGCCCCAACCGATTCAAACGGCCGATTCAAACCCCAACATCCGCCGCTCGCCGGAAACGGCCCCGGCGCTGGCCCCGCCCCCGGCCGGGCAGGGGCGCTCGGGGCCCGGCTGCACCGCGGTGTCTGTGTCCCAAGTGTGGGTCGGGGAGCCTTTGCTGCAGTAAAGGCGAGTGTCCCAACTACAGCTCTGTATTTGGTGTTTGTGCTGATGTTTTGCCACCGGAGTGCCACTGGTAGTGCACTGCGTGACGAGGGAGCTCATTCCAGCGGCTTTGGGACGCAGGGCGGTGCTGCTTCCTTGTCCATTACAGCTGAGCTGCTGCATTCCCATGGTATATCCAATGGGAATGCCGACCGGGGTACAGTTCCACACCCACACACTGGACAGTGTCGGTAGCAGAGCTCCCCCTCGCCCCCCACCTCCCTACCCACGCGGGTCTCTCCCATACCTGGCACAGACCTTTATTCCCCCTGGTAACTTGGCTGTTGAACCCGGGATCTCTGCCGTAGCTCCAGACTCACGCTCGTCCCAGTATCCAGGTCCTAAACCGTTAACCTCTTCACTACTTATCCTGGTTTCAGGTTCGATAGCGGCACACACAGGCAGAACACGGAGCTTACCTGGGAACGTGGGTGGGACTTGGCCAGGAAAGGGTGCTGACAAGCAGCTTGTTTTCATGTAACTGGTCCCATTGTTCCACTGCCTTTTTCTGTGCATGTTCACACACAATGTACCTTTCTAACACACAGTTAGAAAGTTCCAGTTTAATCTCCTTCAGGCTGAGTGGTCCTTTTAATGGCCCATCAGTAGCCCGAGATTCCGATTGTCATTGTCTCTGTTGTTTCCTGCGTTTGTGTATCTGGGGCTTAGCTACCTCTGTGTGTTGCCCAAGTCTTGTATATTAAAGAGCTGTTAATCAGATACCATTACACTGTGTACTTCTGAGGAAAAAAAAAAAAAAGGATGTCTATGGACAAAGATAGACTCTATGTAATTGTTTGATTCCTAAAAAAAAAAAATAAAAAAATAAAGCAATTACATTGTTTTTCCTAAATGTACCTCAGTATGATGGGTGTGCCGTTTTATCCAATAACTGACAATGTACCTGGTATATGAAAAATCCAGAATAGCTTCCATTCTTCTACATTGATACAAATATACATTTTCAAGAAGTGTAGAGTATCATTCTTGCCTGTATTCTCTCTAGCTTGCTGACTATTCTGATATATAAAAGGAATTGTCACACTACCAGTGGGAATGACAAGCTTTAATGTTGTCATTTGAGAGTTTGACCCCAGTCTGCCACATTCTGGATAACTGTCTGAAGTAATGGTCTACTGAATAAATAATGTTACTGTTATTATACTACTTCCATCTTTTTAAATATATACTATTATTTTTTTTTCTGTATGCTGTTAAGTTCCAAATACAGAGAATTTCATTTTGGTTCAGCTGATAAGTTCTGTTACATTTATAAACATTATCATTTTCAGTCAGAAAAAAACAGAACATTTTTGTCTTCTTTCAGTCTTTATCGTTCATTCAGGTAGTCCTATGTATTAGGGAGGAAAAGCTCTAAAGGAAGAATTAATGTTTGAATGTGTCTATGTGTTTTATGGGTTTTATGGAATTTTATTTTATTTTTATTCAATGAGACAGTCTCAAATATTTTTCTATATTTATGTAAAACTCTGACTAGCAGTACATCATCTTGTAAACATCTGAAGTATGGTAGCTGTCTAAAACTCCAAATCACATATGGAGATGCTCAGTCATGCCATAGCTTATAAAGTTTTTAAGACCTAACCATTATGTCAGCATGTTATACTCAAATTGCATGGCTATACATTAATAAAATTTAAATTATAACTAATAAGGTCCTTATTCTTAATTGTTTTTAGAAAAAGATGTCCAGGCTACTTTAAAATTTTTATATATTGTTTTTAATCATGAACTGTCTTGTTCTTTTGTTCTCACATAACCCTTTGAAAAGTACTAGCTTACTATTTACCACAAAACACAAGTGTTTCTTTTCCTAGTTCTCCCCTGTTATATTTTCTGGTTGTTGTTTGAATGTTTTGATATGAAGTCACTTCTGAATGTTCTCAGTGTCTTTTGAACTCAAACATACCACCTCTTGGCAGCAGGAGCTGCCTCACAAAACAGCAATTTCAGGTCTCCTGGTACTTACTGGGTTGCTCTGATAATAAGCAGGTATGTGAGCACCAGTGGTTAGGGGTGATATTTCTCCTGCTGTGAGACAGTGAGGCTTCCCCTTGCAGAGCTCATGTCCTGCCTGCATTGCTGTATTCATTCCAGGTCAGGAGCTTAATGTGCCTGTGCAAATGCGACAACACTATTCCACTCCTCAGCATTTCAGGTGGGACAGAAGCTAAATTGCTTACAATTTTTGCTTCTCAAGCTAAAATTTTAAATGGTGCTTCTCTTTTGATGTATCTGGACA